TTACGGCTGCAATGACTTCTTCATGTGATGAGAAACGCTTTCCACGTAGAAATTTTTTGAGATGTGGAAAGAGGTGAAAGTCGGACGGAGCCAGATCTGGTGAATAGGGTGGATGTTCCAAGCGTTCGTACTTTAATTCGACCAATTTCGCCTTTGCAACATCGCTGATATGAGCAGGTGCGTTGTCCTGGTGATAAATGATTTTTTTATGCAGCAAACCAGGTCTTTTCTCACGAATTTTTTTATCCAACTGGTCCAAAAGATTTTTATAATATTCACCTGTTATCGTTTTACCGGTTTGAAGGTAATCTATTAATAAAATTCCTTTCACATCCCAAAAAACTGATGCCATAACCTTCTTTGACGATTTTGACGCCTTCACTTGCTTCGGAGCTGAACAACTGGGTTCTGTCCACTCTGCAGTTTGTTGTCGCAGCTTCGGATCATAGTGGTAAACCCAAGTCTCATCCATGGTTACGAATCGACGCACAAAATCTGTTTTATTCTTTTGAAAACGGGCCAAATGTTCTTGAGAAAGTTTTACTCGAGTGCGTTTCTGATCCAGAGTTAGCGAATGCGGCACCCATCTTGCCAACAGCTTTCTCAGACGTAATTCATCGTGCAAGATGTGTAATACCCGTTCATCTGAGATGCCCACAGCCTCAGCAATTTCACGTTTGGTCAATCGTCTATCATCCATAACCATGTCATGCACAGCATTAATTGTTTCTTCAGTAGTAGCACTTTTTGGACGTCCAAAGCGAGGGTCATCTTCAAGGCTTGAACGCCCACGTTGAAACTCCGCAGCCCATTTGCATACTGTTGTTTTTAAAGGAGCATCATCACCCAACACATTTACCATTTCATTATGAATTTCCATGGGCTTTAAACCTTTTTTCACAAAGAATTTTATTACAGCACGATGTTCAATATTTTCCATTTTAAAAAATACTATGACACGTCTAATTTCAATAGCTTGTAAACAAAGACTGAAATGACATATCGACTTGAAATTTTTTATGCGTTCATACGAAGAATGAATACGTTTAATACAGTTATAAATTTGTTTCTACTACTGCAACATAGGTGCCGCTCCGCGAACTTTTCAACCAACCTAGTATATATATATATATATATATATATATATATATATATATATATATATATATATATATATATATATATATATATATATATATATATACATATACATATATTTTAACAAACAAGACAAACTTTTTAATTAATAAAACCATTCATTAATTCTGAACAATACATGTTTTCGACTATCACTAGTCTTCATCAGTTGAAGTTAAATTTTTAAATTTGCTTAAATACCTTTATAAGCGATTTTTAAAATACCAATACCAAAATGGAATTATCTGCGTACAAACTATTAATTTAATTACAAAAATACAACAAAATTTATTATAAGAATAACAAGTCATACTAAAAAATGAATAGGAAGTGACGAAAGAATAGGTAAATAAAAAATTACATAAAAAGTAATAACTAAACAGAAAGTGTCATTTCGATATGGTTGACCTGTTTGTTCATACCAAGTTTTAAGCATTCCATGAACATGCTTTCTTTAAGTTTTAATTCAAACTTATTAGATGCTGAATCTAAAATGGAAAAACACTTTCCATTTAATTGCATAAAACAATTTTCATTACCATGGAGATGTTTATAGATATGTGATTTTTTGTCTCTCTTATAATGTTCAGTTATCTGTGTCTTGAGATGGCGAGTAGTTTTGCCTATATAACAGGAGTTACATCCTGCACATACAATTTTGTAGACCACAAACAATTTGAACTCTAGAGGAATAGGATCTTTAGAGGAAAAAAATTTTGAAACTTTTAGTGAAACAAAAACTAGTTTAAAATTTACAGAACAACGATATCTTTTAACAATTGAATTCAATCTTTTTTTAGTTAAATCAGATATTTTTCCTAAAAATGATAGTTTAAATCAAAGATCAAAGAACCTTTGTTTTACACAAAGGTTCTTTGATTTTGGTTGTTTGTGTTAATTTTGTTTAAATAAGATTTATATATTTTCGATAAAAACCAAGATGGATACATGTTTCTTTGAAATACTTTGAAAAGGTTGTTCATGTCGGAGTTAAACCCTAGATTAGTACTATTGATTTTAAATGTTCTATCGATTAAGCATTTGATAAGACTGACTCTGTACGAAAGCTTTTTTTTGGTCTACACACCAATTTTTATACTCTGTATAAAAATTGGTGTGTAGACCAGAGTAGGTTTTTTATGAAAAACTGTAATAGTTACTGTAGAATTTATTTTGTGTAAAGTTAAGTTCAAGAAGGATATGTCAAATTCACTTCTTGTTCCATAGTGAAAGAAATAGAATTGTGTCTACTATTTATATAATTAAGAAAAATACATGTTTCATTTTCTGACTGAAAAGCAGCAAAAATGTCATCAACATATCATTTATAGAAAACTGGCTTAACACCATTGCAATTTTTAATCCATTTTTAAAATGACCTATAAACAAATTGGCAAGAACAGGTGCTAGTAGGGAGCCTATGGCTACACCATCTATTTGGTCATAAGTATGTCCTTTAAAAATAAAATGTGTTTGCGAGATAAAGAAATTAAATAATTTTTTAAAATCGTTTTTAGTAATTTTAATATTTTTATTATTAAGCATAATCAAATTAACTGGGATATCAATAGTTTCTTGAAGCGGAACATTAGTATTTACGATGGTTACACCATACGATACTAAAAATTATTTATGTAGATTAACCTGACTTATTTCTTTAACGAAGGAAAATAAATCTTAAGTTCAAAACTCTGTGTTTTTTAATGGAGTATTTTTGTTATTAAATTAACAGTTTGTACACAAATAATTACATTTTGTATTGGTATTGTAAAAACCACCTAAACAGGTATTTAAATAAATAGAAAAGGTTTTTTTACCAAAATCAAAAATATGTAAAACAAAATAATCCAAAACAAACTAATAATATCAAGCCTCAAACCTACATAGTAAAATGTACTTTTTCTAAAGTGATAAAAGTAAAGTAGAAAATTGGTTAAACATACAAGTGTTTCAATATCAGAATAGTATTGATAAAAAAAATTATCAATCTACATAGCTCCACATAAAGTCTAAAAACGGTAATAAGGACAACCAGCAGAATAATATATATATATATATATATATATATATATATATATATATATATATATTATATATATATATATATATATATATATATATATATATATATATATATATATATATATATATATATATATATATATATATATATATATATATATATATATATAGAAAAGCTCGACCAAAACAACTTGTGCTTTGTTTGCAAAAGTGGAATTATACTTTTTTTTTAATTATAATTATAATGTAATATTTTGATGATACATAAAAATAAGATTTAGCCTTTTTTATTTTTTGAAATTTTCCAAAAAAAAAAAGAAGCCATTCAACCACTGAAGTCAAAAACTTTGCTGTTTTGACAGCTAAGATTAAAATTATTTTTAATACTTAATTAGCTGATCTGCTGAAAAATATCAAATTGAAAAAATAATTAAAATACCTGCTTATAACTCTGCTCACTGACATAGCTGAAGAAACAAGTCCAACATATCTTCCTTAAATTTAAATTACATAAAGTTAATTCATTTTCAGTACCATAATAATTGATATATTATTTATTAAAAAATCCTTTTTTTTGTTGTTAATTCTTTATTTTAGGTGCCCCAAAAAGTCCTAATGGTCTTGTAACAGAGCATCACAGAAGTGCATTTAACCAGAAAGTTCATGCCTCCTTCCTTACCATGAGGCGAAATATGTTCAAAGCTCATTTCAAACCTGGATCTCCTGCTTTAGTGTCACAAAGAATTAAAATTAAGGAAACTACATCTTCAGTTAGAGGACAAGATTTAGAGGAGAAGATTTTTTTCAAGTTGAAATAAAAAGATTACTGTAAACTTATTAAAAAATTTTGAAAACTTTAAAACTTATTTCAAGTTTTAATACAAAAGTTGGAGAATGAAAACTCAAATGCAACACATTTATACTTTTTAAAAAATTTTTATAATTGTTTAGCAGACTAAATAATTTGAAAAATTTATTATTAGCAAACAGACATCTTTTACAAATTAGGTCTTATTTCTAGGTCAAAAACTTTATTTTTTCGGCAAAAATATTTTTTATGTTTTTTAACTAAAAAAGTTTATCAATACATTAAAAAAAAAAAATAAATAACAAAATGATTGGCTGTTACCTGTATCAACTTCACTGACATTAAACGTCTATAAAAAAAATAGTAACACATTATACTACTTGCTTTACTTTCAAAAGCTAGTTAAAACAAAAATGGATATATTAAAAATAGAGCTTGCAGACTAAGGTCTAGCACCCAAAACTATATGCAACGCCAAAATAAAAACATGCTTTGGTTATTGAAATAGATATAAAAGCCACATGTTATGTAAAATTGTATTCAAAACGCAAATCAAAAAACTCAATTTTTGTACCAAAGGCCTTTTTGATTGGCAGGGCAAATAGGTAAACTGTATTCAGAAATGTTTATTAACAAAAAATAAAACAAGGATAACTTAGGATTTTACTTGAAAATAAAACAGAGAGTTTTTCTTTGGTTAATTATAAAAGACTTAACATGAAGTAAATTTCCATGTATTTTTAACTTATATTAGATTTAAAATGTCTTTATTATATTCATTCTTATAATAGAATTAAAATGGCTTCATTTTGTGAATAACTGCAGAGAATGCTTTTAAACTTGGTAAACACTTTATTTAAACTTTTAATTATAAAGAGAATTGCAGAGTAATTATACTGGTTGTATGATGGTTGATACTGGTTGTAGGCAGTTTAAACTGTGACCGTTGTCCTAAAAAACCTAAAAGATTTTCTCTAACCTAAAACAAAATACAAAAAATAATAATCTATTTTATATATGTATATATATATATATATATATATATATATATATATATATATATATATATATATATATATATATATATATATATATATATATATATATATATATATATATATATATATATATATATATATATATATATATATATATATATATATATATATATATATATATATATATATATATATATATATGTTAATTCACCTCCCCAAAGTCATTAAAGACAAAGAGGCTACTTAATTGTGATTATAACCCTCTCTCAATTCTACAATTCCGAAACACAAACTTCAACAAACAAGGCCGCTGTGCGAAGAAACAAGTTGATTATACTATTATATATAATATATTTTGTAATATTCTTTATAATATTATAATTTTATGTTACAAAAATCTTGACAGCTACCTTTTTTCCCTCAGCCACTCAAATTATATAATCATTCCTCCTATCTAGTATAAAACCATATTTTAAAAACAGATACAAAGGGGAATAAAAAATTATTTTTTGGCCTTTTAAAAATACTTACTTATGTGACTGCACTCCCTACAAAATGTATACAAATTGAAAAATTTTCAATTTTCTGACAATTTAATAAGAAATTTTAAAATTTTTTATTACAGAATGGATCTATTTCAAAAAAAAATTCAAAATTAACTTAAAAACTTTTTATATCTCATTCTAAATCTCATCCTTAATCTAATAGTTTACTTAATTTGGAACATAAAAAAGAAAAATTATATTGTGCATTAAATGAAGTTTTTGACCTATTAAAGACTTTAATTAAGGCATGTTGATCTTTTTTTTTTTTTCTTTCTCTGTGTACCTGGAAACTTTTATAATTGAATTACTGAATCTTTCTTTTCTTTCATTAATAAAATTATCCTCGATGGATAACAACCTTCTTTATTTCAAGTAACCTCGGGATTTAATTTATTAAATAGCTATTTATAGCAATTATTTTAATCTAAATAATTTAATTATTTTAAAACAAAATTCAAAAGTATTAATATTTAAAAGATCAAATTTGTTGAATACTAATAATACTTACAATTGGTGAATGGAAAAACCATTACTGATCCTATTGATAATTCTAAACAGATGAATGGCTCCACACTCTTAATGAGTTCTCTATTTTATTTATTCTTGAATTATATTGATAACTGACCTCTCAGCTTATATTCAATTTATTATCAATCTTACTGATTCCACTTTCTACCTTTATAAATCTCTTGTAATGTTGTCATATTTGATCTTGTTCTTCTATTGATGATTTTTCTTTTTAAAAGTCAAAAGTTAGAAAAATAAAAACAGTTTTGTAATCTTCTTTATCTGCCAAGTCAGAGTCACAGGTTGCATTTTTTCTAAACATCTTTCTACAAAAAACTACCATTGTTGCTACTCAAATGAACTATTATCTCATGGTCAAATAAATTAGGAAATCAAAAAGTTTTGGTATATAAAATTTAATGTATTTTATATACCAAAACTTTTTAATATTTCCAAATTTATTTGAGCACGACAATTTATTTAAATATGACATAAGTTATTTTATTGTATAAACCATTTGACCATAAAATCAAAAAATTTAATTAATTTTATTATTTATATTATTCATATTGTATGAATTATTGTTTGACACCTTTAGTAAATATATAACATTTACTATTGAAAAATGTTGTGTTATGTTATAAAACATAATAGTACATTACAACACATTTATATATTATATAATGTTACATTATACTGTAATGTAAGATTGTAATTGCAATATTCTCTGACAATTTTATAAAACACTAAAAATGAACAGTAGAACGTTGGTTTTTTTTATGAAGTTTGTTGCCATCAAGTACAAAACACCAGATGTAGTCACCCATCATAGCTGCATTCTATCTGCTCTGGTATCTTTTTTGCTTATTTCAAGAATATCCTGGTAAAAACGTTTTTCACTTACATTACCTAAACTTAATCTAAAAAAATTTAAAGTGTGAATGCAGATAATGCAGTTTTATTGACATTCTGCATTACATACCTGCATATGATTTACAACTAAGTTTTCAACAAGTTTTTTTAGCTATCACTCTTATTAGTACCTAAAAAATTATTAACAATGTGTCTAATTGCAAATCCTCCTTTTTTTTTTAATTGCAGACATTTTTTCCTCCAGCTCCTTATATGCAAACATAACTTTAATCTTTGGACCAACAAATATCCCAGCTGAAATTTTTGTATCTAACAGCTTTGGAAACATCTGCCAAATATGTTGGAATGCTACACTAGCTGGGTTTAATGTTTCTACCGTATTATTTGACAAGATCTAGTTTAATATGAAGAGATGAGGCGAGAAGTAAGATCTTCTCAAGAGGTATAAGGGATTGATTTATAACAATGTGTAAGCCAGGCTGTAAATGTACCCTTACTGGCCGCTCCTATTTTAAAGTGCTGATCCACAGCCCTGCTATCCCATAATAAAAAAAAACATGAACACTTTATGTACCTTTCTTGTAGACCCCAAAAAAACTGTGAGCATCCTAAAATCTCTACATACATCCTACTTATAACAGTCAAGTTGATTTTTTCAAGCAACTATTTCACGCTCTTGTAGTCTTCCTAAAGATCAACAGAATAAGCTACTGGGATTTTCGTTATGGATCAAAACTTCTTTTTTGTGTTGCCAATGAATTATCTTTACTTTTCAGAATTGTGAACAATGCCAATTACATCAAAAAAATTACCAACGTCATGACATTAAGTTAATTACTTCTCGCCTCATCTCTTCATATTAAACTAGATCTTGTCAAATAATACGGTAGAAACATTAAACCCAGCTAGTGTAGCATTCCAACATATTTGGCAGATGTTTCCAAAGCTGTTAGATACAAAAATTGCAGCTGGGATATTTGTTGGTCCAAACACAGGAATTCTGATACTCCATAAAAGCATGCAAATGTTAAATTCCTTTTAGTATTTTGCAGTTTCTCAGCTTGGATCTAATTAATTCCATTCTTTCAAAGATGTTGTCAGAAATTTGGCATATGATTTAATGAGACTTAAATCTTGAACTTAATCATCAAGTTCTATCTGATTAGAGAAATAAAGCAAATCATTCAGTAATCTGAAATCATATTCACTAATTTAATTTGTTGTATCTTCTTCAGAATGATATGCAGCCACTTCTTTGGATTGAGGTAAAGTAGGAACAGGCAATTCATCACTGTATGGAACTGGTTCAATAGATAATGGCATACTTGAACAAATTAGAGTCAGCCTGTCATGCAGCTTTTTATACTGTGAAATATGAACCATGCAGATTGTCAGATTGATGCAGTCTAAATGATAATTCATTGCTACTCTCCATATTCTTGGAATCAAAAAAGGTATTGACTCTCGGATTCCATTCCTCCAAATTTGATCTTTAGCTGCTACAGTTGTAAAGTGGTGCCCAAGATTTGTCCTGATCACTCATAGCCAAAATAAGCATGATATGCAGTAATGAATTTTTTTATTGCTGAAAATTTATGTTTAGTTTGTGTTGGACTAATATAGTAATCACAAACTTAGCAGAATGAGTCAAGACAAAGCTTGCATGATCTACTAGACGTATTCACCATTTACATAATAATTGCAATTAGTTAAACTAAAAATAAGCACATAAATATAATTAAAATCAAAATACATATAATGTTATAAATGTATTACACTTAAGTGTTTGTTGCAAAACCATTGATTTTAATCTATTATTAAGATTTTATGAGAAAAACCATAAAGTATATTTTGAAGTATTTGTAAATATACTAAAACTTAAAAGTAAACTTTATGCTTTTTCTCAGGAAATCCTAATGATAGAGCAAATTAATGGTATCATGGATTTCAGCATCCCAAAATTATGCAACTTGAAAAAATTAATATAGACAAAAAACTCTAAGACACTTGGCTTAAAAACAAGAAACTTGAGGTGCAAATTTAACCAACTCTTCTGAAAGTACTGCTCTCAATCTGTTTTCTTTATGCAATGGTTGCTTAAAATTCAGAGTGTTTCACACAATGTTTGTGTTAAATTTAGGGTAAAGAGAGAGTGCAAATAAAAAAATTTTGTAATAAAAGTTTAGCTTCCTTGACTATGGAGGTCGCCTCTGGAGGTAAATTAAAACAAAAAAAGCTCTTAACTAAAGCAGCAGTAAAAAATATTTACAAAATTAAAGTAAATTGAAATCTATCCTAATTATAAGTCTAATAGAAATCTTGAGTTTTTTATTTATTTCATAAACAGAATAAAAGTTATGAGTTTAAAAAACTTAGCAAAATCATTTATAAAGAAATGAACAAAAAACATTTCAGTTGTCTCTTTGAAGCCATTTTGCTTCTAAGCATAATAGTAGGCTGATAAAATTTTTTTGATAAAATGAAATTAAACTTTTAAAAAACAAACTACTTTTATTTCAAAAAAAGAAATTATTTTGTTTACACTGACAATCAGCAAATCAAATTAATTTATATTTTTCACTTAACCCCCAAAATTAAAACATTACTTCTGGTTTTTTAAGATTTTATTAGAGCTATAATATATATTAATGTTTAAGATTTTATTAGAGCTATATACGAGTTCAAATCCTGCCACCGCCAACTCGGCTCTTGAGTAGTACTTCAGTATGCAAAAATGTTGGTCAATAACGGACGCTACTTTGAATTAGTCTTAATGACTATTTGTAGCTGTTCCTATGCTAAGCGAACAGTATCTTCAGATATAAGAATATTTATTAGAAAAATATAGCATGAAAATTCAAAATAAAAAAATTAAAAAATAAAAAATAAATAGAACTTTATATTTAAAGCCCTCTGTTTTGTGTAGAAGAGCACATAACAAAATATAATCCGCGTAGGAGAGCACATAACAAAATATTTCTGAGTAGGAGAGCACATAACAAAATATAATAAAGTTAAAATCTTTTACATAAAAATAAAGCTGTTGGTCACTTTATTAAATACTTTGCATTTTATTAAACTTTAGGTGATAAGATGTTTAAAGATTTATAAATAAGATAATACATCTATGAATGTTTTCTATTTTTTGTGTATTTTGCTGTTTCTTTTTGTTCTTATTTTTAATATCCTTGGTCCAAATATCATCCAGGGCATATTTTAAAAATCCGGAAAACTGTTTGAGTAAAATATCTGAAAAATCTGGGATATAATTTCTTTTATTTTCTTATTAATTTTGCTTTTAGCTGAATTATTTTCAATTTTTTCCCAAACTTTTTAAATTTTTGTATGAGTGATGAATAAAAAAGCTAAAAAAAAAAGATATAAAAATAGGACTCTCAACTATTAGTAATTAGGAACATAAATTATTGAGTAATGAGAACATGTCATATTATTACAAAGCACAATAAAAATAAAAAATAAAATAAAAAATTAAAACTAAGAAAACACAAACACTTTTAGAGGTTCAATTAAGAAAGTGCAACTTTTTTCTTTAATAATTTTTATGAAGTAGAATGCAGTAATAACTTTATACAATAGTTATAGGGTTCCCAGATATTCCAAGAAAACACAATAGTGAAAATATAAATAATTAGGAACTTTATTTGTCGGGTTTTTTGGTTTTTTAAATACTTTTCAACTTTTCAGTTTATTTTTTACAGGCAAAAAATAATGGTTTAATAATACTGAAGGAGATTTTGATTTGCTTATTAATTAAAGTGGTTCAGCAAGTTAAACAAAAAGCAAAAATATGCAATTAAGTTAAAAATGTTTATAACTACTTAACATGTAGTTAAGTTAAAAGCAAGTTACATGTGAAATCATAATGCTTAAATATGCCTGCAAGCAGTATAATAATAAATACAAACAGTTTAGACAATTTAAATTCTTATTGTCAATAGACAAAAGCTAAAGTAATTTTTTGAGCTAATTTACTTGTGTTTTACAACTCTGTGCTATATAGAGTTCACAATTGTTTACAGCAATTGGTGGTGATTCTGTTGTATAACTTTTTAAATGCCAATTAGATCAATATTAAATAAGAGATAGTTTACCAATATCAGTCATATTGATAAACATCTGACATAGGCTTTAAGATATGTGCTACAAGTAATAAAAAATAAATATCAACAACTAAAGTATCCTTAATTATGAGTGTAAGTGGATGCTCAAGTAATAATTGAAACTATTAACCAACATTAACAAAAATTAAATAAAACAATGGTATGAACATCTAAATCAAAAAAAAAAAGGAACATTAAATGCTGTTTGTGCAGTGATTCAAAATTTAAAGAAAACCTTTTCAGGTATCTTTCATAACACAACTTAAAACTTTAAAATTTTAAAAGCATTTTAAAAATGGTTATCATGTTATATTCATCATTATATTTAAAGAAAATTAAAAAACTATGTAAACAGGCTATGTAGCTGATATGCCAGTAGACAGATAAAAAAGACTTATATTTTAATAGGAATATGTAAGAAAAACTGTAGCATCAAATGAAACTGTTAATATTTAATTGCATTGGAGTTCAAATAGAAATTTTTAAATTTTTTTAAAATTTCGGTATACTTTTTTATTTTTAATACTTTTTTATAAGAAAAATATTTTATGAAAATAATTTCACAAACCTTTATTTAAAAAATTTTTTTTACATTTTGACAAATTTTTTCAACTCAATTTGATTGAACTGAATGGCTAAACTTTGATTGAACCTGATTTGGTGAACTTTGACTGAACCTGAATGTTAGAACTTTGATAGAACATGAATGGTTGAACTTTGATTGAACATTAATGTTGAACTTAAATTTTGATTGAATCATTGTTTTACATACTTTGTAAATAAACTTTTAAAATGCTTTTAAATTACTTAACTATTAAATTTAAATAAACCAAATATCATTTGAATTTAAATAATTACATGAACTTGCTATAAAATCTAATGTATAAGCAAAAGTTTATCAAATAAAAAAACAAGCAAATTTATTGTGTAGTTTGACTGATACTAAAAGTATTATGCAATAACACGCATTTTTTTGTTTCTTTTTTGTTTCAGTATTTTTTTCTCATAGTCCTACCTAATTTTATTATTTTTTAATATTTGCGACCTGTAAAATGTTTAAAGATCTTTTGGGACCCCTGAAAAATTTTTATTTTAACTTTACAAGACCCTAATAAAAGTAATTTTGTACCACTTTAACTTTAAAAAAATTAACAATAAACATATCTTAATTTCAAAAATTTGAAACAACCTGTAACAAGATAAATATATGCCTCAAGAAAGTTGACAAGAACCTTATAAATGACCAAATCAACTCATACTCATATTGGGAAAAACAGAAATAAAAAACTAATAAAAGAAACTTATTATTAAACCCAATAAAGGAATAATCTATATAAATACAATTCTGTTTAATTTGTCGCTTGAAAATAAGGAAGTAATAATAATCTTTAACTCTAACAGATTTTTATAAAATACCAATTTATATACGTTTACCTTAACCAACTGCGGTAAGTATGATGAAAGATTAGTAGTGACCATCCCATTGAATAACTAAATGAACCAAAAACTATTTAAATGTCTATTTAAAATTTATACATTTGCTGAATATTTTTTTTAAAAAGTCATTAAGTTTAAAACAATGCTAAAAAAGTAAATCTTATTACTCTAAGGTAAAATAAAGTAAAACTATATTTTCATCTTAGAGATGAAAATATAGTTTTACTTTATTTTTCAACAAGAATGGACTTTATTGTGTATGTAAGTATTGTGTAACTGTGCAATTGTCTAAAAAACATTTTTTTTATCAATAAAACACTTTGGTGTAAACAAAACACTTTTGTGCAAGTATTATTGTCAAGAAAAGTTATTATAAAAAAAATTAAACAAATATTTCTTACAATGAGCAAATACAAAACTGCACATATTCCAATTGGAATATGTGCAGTTTTGTATTTGCAGCAAATGTCACATTTTCTCCATAGAAAGTATGCTTCAAAATGGTTTTGATTTTCATGATTTTTTTCAAAACAACATGAATAATTTTATTTTTTGTCTCTAAATATGTTTATAGTATCATAAAAATTTTATTTTATTGAATGCAAAACTGAAACCTACTTTTTTATAAAATAATAATAATAAAAGATCCTATATAATGTATAATACCTATTCCTGTCATAAATTATAATGTGAATTTTGACTCTTAATGCTTTATTAAAACTGGTTTAAATAATTCTCTGAAAAGCTGGAAGATGATTTTGTTCTTTATATTTTTTGCTATATGTATCTATCTTTATATTCTTTGGCCTATGCAGTAGTAAAGTTTTAGATATTAGAAATATTTGCATCATTTGTATTTACTGAAATGAGGAATAATGCAGAATGTAAATGCTTGTGAAACTTAGTCAGTCAATAATGGGCAGATGACAAAAGTAATTTGAAAACTAGTACATCTGTGATTGTAATGAAATAAAAGTTAATATATTTCTTTCATGGGATTAATTTTATGACTATAAAAAAGAATATTACAAAAGTAATTACATAAACTGAAAAATTCTAAAAATTATTTTTAAATTAGTTGCATATAAAAGTAGAATATTTACAGTTTATATTGGTTGTACAGAGTTTTACTTGTGTTTAAAAATGTTTTTGATGTATTTACATTACCGTATAAAAAAGTAAATAAGTGTTTTTACTAATTTATTATTGCTCTGTTTTTTAAGAATATTTAGCACTCTATTTGTAGAATACACTAACATGTTATATATATATATATATATACATATATATATATATATATATATATATATATATATATATATATATATATATATATATATATATATATATATATATATATATATATATATATATATATATATATATATATATATATATATATATATATATATATATATATATATATATATACTTTGTAGAATTTTCATCATAGCTTAGTATCTGCATTAACAGTGTTTTTAATGAGTTTTATAAATTAAAATGATAAAAAAATGCAGCTCCAATTAAATCCTTTTAGAAAATTAAAAGATTTATTTTAAAAATAATATATTTTTATAAATTATTATCATTTTAGTATTGTAATTATAAACATTAATAACATTTAAGAAATACTTAAGCATAAAATTTTATAAATGTTATTACAATAAATGTATTTCAATCTGTTAGAAAAGTAAAAACCTTAAAATTCATATTTTAAGATGTGAGCTTTAAAGCTTTAACCTCACTTAAGATTTTTGGTAATGAAATTCAAGTGTAGTAGAAAAGCATACTCTATATAAAAGCATAGAGTAGTTTTTTTGCGCCTTCAATCACTTTTTAAATGAATATGCACGAGAAAATAAACATTAATTTTTATAGTTTTGTAATTTTTTTTTTTTTTTTTTTGGTGGGGGGAAGGAGTGTATCTTTAATTACTTAGAAAGATCTCTTATAATATAAAAGTTTTTCATAAGTCGACCAGTTTATCTAAAATGTTCACATCACATCAAAAAAAAATTGCCCATGAAAGGTTGTTAAAAGCAAATCTAGTCTATGCTAAAAATACAGATAGGATTCCAGCTTTTGGCATGCTTTCATAGGAAACTTTACGCATTTATTATAATCCATAACTGTTTGCGGTTTCCAATGGTTTTCAAAATGGCCGTCACGCCTTCCATGGCCTTTCATGGAGGGGGTGTTGTATGTATTTTTTACCAACTAGAGACACACACACAAAAAAAGATTTTTGCTAACTATAGATTCATACTTGCTCATTGTGCCAACTCCAATGATTAAATGACAAATTTAGGGGTAGGACACTCCCCTCTTTCGGGACGGCCTTGCCCAATCTATATTCAAAAATCAATCGAATTCGTCAAAATCTTTTAAAAAGCGTTTCACGTACATAGTTTAAAAGGCAAAAAGGAGGGGGTGGGGAGGCACTAAGCACTTTTAGTTAGAATTTATTTAAATTCGAATAGATACCGAAAAAAATTAAAAAACTTTGAAGATAAATCCAAATGCAATTATCAATTTGACTTAAAAAGTTTTACTTTTTTTTAGTTGGACATTCTATTTTTATCATTGTTTATTATATACATACCAAAGTATTTACCAGTATTGACAATACCAAGTAGGATATGAGCGTCTAAGTACCAAGTATAGTAATAAAAATACATTGGATCTACTTTGAAATATCATTACTTTGCATTAACAAAACTATGTTTAAAAACATGATTCTGAATTTTATGAATAACTCGTCATTTTCTACTGTTAAGAGCCAAAAAACAAAGCTTCAAAATTGTCTTTAAAAAATAAGAAGCTAATATCAAATCCTGGTATGTTTTGGTTAGATACCAGAGAAAACGCTTTAAAATAGTATTAATTAATGCAACAGTAAACAATAAAGTTTTTATCTAATGGTTTGCCATTTTAGTCCATGAGACAAAAGATTTTATTTTTGTATGAATGCTGACGTTTTACATAACTAAAAAAAATTTTCGGATTAGTTTTACAATTAAAAATAAATAAATTTTTCATAATTGATGATACATTTTAATTAAAACAACGTGTTTTTTATTATGTGATTTTGTTTATTGTAACAATAACTTTGCATGAACCAATAGAGTTGTTCAAAACTAAATTGAATTCATATTGGGTGACAACATGTGACGGCGACAACATTTACAGCCAATTAAAAAACGTTAAAAACCAATATTAAAGTAGCGCCAAATATTTTACTTGTCTTTATTAAAAAAATATCAAGTAAATATGGATTTAATATAGACGAAGTAAAAAACTTTAGGTGTTTACTTACCGGGTAAAACACGTCAAGAAAACGTTTTAAAACGAAATGATGTCTACAGTGGCGTAGCTAGGTAATCAAGGGCCTTGGGACAAATTAAAAATTTGGGTCCCACTGCAATGTAAACTGATTAAGTTTTATCAAACAAAGATATGAAATATACAAATACTTTAATAAAAATGCTAAGCTACTTAAGCTCTTTTTTGTGCACTGCAGGGCAGGTAATAAAAATATTAAACAGTAACAACATAAATTACAATTAATACTTGGTGTAGGTTTGGCTAATAAAACGAAATAGAGAAGATTCAAGGGTTTTTTGGATAAAGTTCGGGCCTACCAACTGACTAAATAACAATTATATTTACAACTTTTTAATATTCATCATAGTTTTTTTTACCGATTTCTACTTTTCTCTTGAATCATTTATATAACAAATATATGAAAAATGCAATTTTAAAGCGATTGACGCAATTTTCTTACAAAGATTTCTGGTGAGGATTCGAGGGCCCCCTGAGCTTGAGGGCCCGGGGCACTGTCCCGCGTAATCCCTGGTAGCTACGCCACTAGATGTCTAAAAGATGTTTTTTACGTCTTTTAAACGAAGTGTGTTTAGTGGGTAAGTTTAAGCAGTAATATGAAAAAAATTCAAAGAGAAAACCTACATTTTAAACTCATTTGCGTTTGCAAATGAGTTTAAAATATAAGTTTTCAAAGTATTTTTTAACCCTTAAAATGCGCAACCTTTTTTTAAGCACTTATTTTTACACATGCAAAAAAACTTTAGGCTGCACTCAGGGCCGGCGCCCTGAGTGCAGTCCAAAAAATGCTAGCGCCCGCCCTGGCTGCACTTGAGATTAACTATAAACTACACTCTCGCATATATGCAAAACTTTAAAACCAAATTTTCTGAGCTCAGCTCAATGTAGTAGGGGCTATACTTTTTAATAAAAATAATATCCTATCATACATTTTGATTTAAAAAAACTGAAAAACACATAAAGAACAATATTAGTCTTTTATTCGTCCAAATTTTACTAAAACCAATGTTAATGTTAAGTAGAATATGAGCGTCTAAGTACCAAGTATAGTAAAAATACATTGGATCTACCTTGAAATATCATCACTTTGCATTAACAGAACAATATTTAAAAACATGATTCTGAATTCTATTAAAAACTCCTCATTTTCTACTGTTAAGAGCCAAAAAACAAAGCTTCAAAATTGTCATTTAAAAATGAGAAGCTGATATCATATGAGAAGCTGATATCAATGTTAAATAGCATTTTTAATGTTGTTGTGGATTATTAAGAAACATTCTATGACGACTATGTGACTTTTGTTTAATAGTTTTTTTTTTAGTAATTTTTTTTGTTATGTTTAAGCGGTTTTTTGATGTAAAGTTTGATTATTGAACCATAAACAAATCAGTTAGGTTATTATGGAAATAGTGGTGAAAGTGATGGAGAAAGGCAAATAAATTTACTTGCAAAAGCTTCATTCTGGACCAAAAAGAAGTAAACAGAAGAGAATAACGCAGAAAAGACTCTGGATAAGGTACTCATAGCCAGCTGCTAGAAGTTAAAGGAGGAAGGGAGAATGCATAGCCTTCAAATTCTGAAAAAGACTAAAATCTCCAATTTTACTACTTTTTGGTTATTTTCAATCCAAATAATTTGAGATTCGTTTATTAAATCTCAAATTGATTCGGAATGGAATATAAGAAAAGGAAATTGAAACCAGGCAAGAAA